TAATCATAATATTAGTCATAATAAAATATTAATCTCAGTTGGATAATTGAGCTTAGTGCCACCAATTGTTAGTTCGGACTAATTGAAAGACATTTTGTGCCATGGCGAATTTAAGCCCAAATACATAAGTTGCCTTTCCGAAATGATATAAAGGCCCATGTAGCAACGGCATTAAGCATTTCATGTTTCAAGTTTCACCCATACTTCAGCTTATGTTGGCAATATATTACTCGCAACGATGAACAAAAAGCAATTTCTATGATACAATTTCAGATGAGCCACCGGCGGGGTGAAACGGTGGTTGAACACGACGTATAACTGGGGCGTCTTACCATCTAAATGTAATTTAATAGGCTTATACTTCTTTCTTTATACCACAAAAGAGATCACGTATTGTATCCCGCCTCAAATGCACCAAAAAATCACGTTAAAATATGTAGTTATAAATATAAATATATAGATAAGAGATCTACAAACACTAAATTTAACAAATCACGACCAGAAAAACAGTAACGGGAACCCTCATTTTGTTTCGGCTGGAATGAAAATAAAAGGCGAAATTATCTTCAGATGAAAATGAAATTGAGACGAAGTGGAGATATAACAATGATTTATTTTCTAATTTTCATATTCGTAGAGTGTTCAATGTCCAACATCGATCATTCCCCAAAGATAGAGGCAGCCGGAGGGAGAATTCTTCCCCTCCCTGATTTTTTAGAAATTTTTTAATGAAATGAAAGAAAACCTCATTATAATTAAAATGATGAAGAATAATAATTTCTCCCTGTATTTTTTTTTTTTTTTATGCATTGTCGCCGCTCCAATTGTTTTAATTAGTGCATGTTCGCCCCGTCACTATTAAATCTCCATGTAAATGTAAAATTGAATCCGATCTTCACTCTATCATAGAATCCGATCAATCAAATATTGTAAAATTGAAACTAGCAATTTGAAATGATGGATACAAGGATTAAATCATGCATGTTAATCCTCTCTCTCTCTCTCTCTCTCTCTCTCTCTCTCTCTCTCTCTCTCTCTCTCTCTCTCTCTCTCTCTCTCTCTCTTCGTTTTTTCATTGTCCCTTTTATGCTCCTCATCTTTCCACCAGTTTTCCAAAATCACCCCCTAAACCCTAAAACACCAACCAGATCACCTCTGCAAATAAATCAATTGCAAATGTCTATTATCATCAATATATACATCGCCCTTTCGCAAAAGGTTCCTTGAGTGACAATTAACCAGAGATGCTTATAAGATAGCACAAGAATTTGGATTCTCTTCAGCCCCTCTGGGAACATAATAGTAATATTGTTGTGCCATATGCGGAACTGGATTGTAAAGATTTGTAATTTATATGATCCACAGTTATTTCACCATCATTCCTATAGGCATTTGTTTCTTTTTTCCTTTTCCTTATTTTTATGGCTGGTACAACTGTTACAATATCTGCCCGCCACTTCTTCAATTTCTTCTCAACATCAACTGGATCAACAACTCCAGTCACTGTTAGTTTCCACTCGTCGTCGTAGATTTTGATAGAATCAATCCCTGCATGCATATATAGGTTTATTTTAAGTACCCGAAAGATTACTTGAATGACATCAATTTTGTGTGTGTGTGTGTGTGTGTGAGAGAGAGAGAGAGAGAGAGAGACAGTGAAACACAAACCTGCGAGGGTTGTAACAGCGTGCATGACCTTCCGTTTCTCCTTCTGTTCATTTGTCAACAACTTCAACACTATCTTCTGAAACCATTTAAAAAATAACATTTCTAACAAATAATCAAAAAGTAACCAAGATCAATTGGAAATTACTGGTAATTTATGATCATGATCATACAAGGTATTTTGATGGTCGATTCAGGAAGGCAAGGCCAACAACATCTTTTCACTGTGGATGAGTGGATTATACAAAACAAAGTCTAACGTGCACAAAAAAGATTCCAAATAATCAATATTCATAACAGTCATGGGATATTGTACTAAAAATAAAATTCAAACCGGACTATCATTCTGGGATAGAGAAAATAAAAGTAATGAAAGTTAAAACTCAAAGCCGGGAAAGAAAAAGTATATGTTTAAAAAAAGAAGTGTTTCTTGATTACTTGTCACGTCATGTCCAATTAATTAAGCCACCCTGGAAAAAGAGGACAGAAAAATTTCCCGGAGAATGTGAAACTTGATTATCCATGTCTCACCTTCTTTACGGACATGTTGATGATTGTTCGAGAAAAATTAGCTAAAATTATTTTGAGACAGAGTTTCAGAAATGGAGAAGAAAAGTGATAAATTTGAAAGATGAGATAGAGCTTTTTGAGGAGGGAGTGGTTTTTATTATAAATAAAAATGGTTGGAGTCAATTCTCTAACGGGGTCTTGCATGTATATAATATAGTAATCCAAATGAATCAACCTTTCCGCGGACGCAAATCTTTAAAGGAAACGCGGTAGCAAGTCTAAAATTCTATGACATGTATTATACAATCAGGGGAAATAAAAGGAAAAATAAAAATAGTTTATCTAATATTCTATTTTATTTATTTTGTGGGATATATAGAGAGTGAAAGAAAAGAGGTTTAACTATGAAATAACGAAAGAGAAGGTGGGTGGTGGTAAATGACAAGTTCAGCAAGGACAAACAATAACAAATATTATCTCCGTTCCAAGAAAATAGTCCACGTTGAGTTTTGATATTTGTATTGTTTTTTGTACAAATTTGAAAACTAAATATGGACTATTTTTCTGGGACTGAAGGAGTACTACTCAGTAGAAGAAAACAGAAAATGATCAACTAAACCTTACAGATGGAATCTCTTTTGAGAAATAGTCTACATTCAGTGCGATAAAACTGCTAAAAATTGAAGGATAAGAGCTCACACCGCATACTTAACCATTTTCCAAGACTTTACTCACTTCCATACCATCTATATCTGTATCTACCGTTTTTTGGTCACTTTCTCTGCATTTACATAAAAGGAAAACTTTTTTGACTTATGAGATTCTGTGAACAAAATGTAGATCAATTAGCATCATAAATTTTTTTTTTTTGTTTTTTTTTTTGTAAAAGATTATAAAAGATGTTAGTTGAAATACTTTTGCAAGACTTGAGTAGGTCGACTAAGTATTTTTTTTACAATAATTACTTGTAAAGACGCAACAAGAAATTAATCCCCTAACATCCTTAGATGACAATCTGTGACAAAAATCCAATAACCAAAAAAAAAAAAGTATACCGCATCTTATGTAAACAATGGCCACAGAGGTGACTTTCTTATTTTACGAATGGCACGAACATGAAATAAAAATTGAAACTCGATGATATTTACCGAATATTGCGAACATATCAACAAAGGCTGTGAAGATCAAGAAATGCTATTAAAGGGGTTCAAACGCCAAAGCTCCTGCATAAGCCGCACAGTGACTAACCACCAAACCAACCTAAGTTCTTTGAAAACTTGGCACGGCATTGTGTATTACAGAACTGTTGGTTTTATATGATTACAAAATTATTAATTTTTTCTTTATTTAATCAGCAACTATCAGGATTTCAGGGTTTTAGTATTGATTACAAAATTATTGATGAATCAATTATTTATTATTTAATTAATATGGACAAAAGATGTAATGATGTTCTAGTTTCCCCTTCTGGCTATTGGCACTCAAATTAAAATCTGCATAGAGAAGATAAGGAGACTAATTAAATCTCTAAAGTTCAGTCTTAGTTGCCTCCTGTACATGTATACTAACATGGAAAACCGCACAATGTGCGGTTGAAACCCATAAAATTTTAGTAGAAATGTTATTATAACGATTGTGAATTTTTTCATATGAAACGAAAAATAATTTGGATTTACTTGAACATAATTAATACGAAATTATTAGAATAGTTAATAACGAATCTATATTCCAACAAAAATACAGAAAATATCTTTCTCGAATTAATTACGAGAGATTGCAGACTTATCGGTGTAAATCATTGATTTTTTCCTTCGTGGATTGCTGTAAAAAAAGAAAGGGTAAAAGGCTGAATTCACTCAGGAACCTAAAGCTATACACACCCAAAAAAAATAATAGTAATAATAAATCACAATGCAAATTTAATGCTCTCAATTTGATGACCAAAACAAACCAACATACTGAGCAGCCACGTAAATAAAAGGGAAAAATAAATAAATTTTCCTTTTAACTTTTTCTTTGGCAAAATGCATACACGAAACATCCAATTAAAAAGAGAACGAAATGATATTAAAAAATTACTTGTCATGATCAAATTGTCATCCCTTTCGAGTTGGAAGTCGGTTATTCATGAGGGTATCTAGACTTTTTTTTTTTTTTCATTTGGTGAGAAACAAATAATAAAGGAGGAGGAAAATGTGATAGAGAACAAAACAAATTCTAATACAGGAGAAAGAAACTCTTAGGAGACTTCAATTTATTTACAGGATTGAAAAATTTTCAAGGAGTTATGTTACGAAATAAGATAGTAATTTCAAATAAATTATTTAAGTTGATGATAAGTTAATATTTTAATTAGTGACACCTTACGACATGGACGATTATGTGGCATTGTTATGTGTCAATCAAAGAAGTGAATATATTTCAAGGAATTGTCTTTTTATACGAAGAACTTTCACCTTCATTTTGTCAGGCATGTTGATGATCGAGAGAGTTTCGACTTAATATGACCAGCTAGTTTCACGAGTTGCTTTGAACATGATACAAAAATCAAGACCCACAAAATGGTGTTAAAGTTTGTTTAGTGACTCATAAAAGAAAAAATTCAACTTGCAAAGTCGATACAAAAACTTTAATAGGCTTTAATGAAAGTAAAACAATTTTCATCATTCATGTTCAGATGTTCTCCCCTCAAACAAGAGTAGCAATATAGGCAGAGTAATTTTTAGCTTTCAGAGCAAATATTGTATTTTTGTTTTTTACCAAATTTACCCTTAATAAAACCATTATCTCTGTGTCAAACTCTCTATTTCGAATTCCAATTATGTTTTCTCCAAAGAAACAAAACATCTCATAGATCGTTGCATAACAAAGGACAATTGTTATCAAATAGATCTCATTGACAGAGAATACAGTAGGTGGGATGTGGATTAAAAGAATTAGTCGTTGTCCTTGAACCAAAGGTTGCAAAATACAAAATTACCACAGAATTCTTGAATCCATGTATTCAAGGATCAAACAAATTTTCATAGTTTGGTAGAGAAGCAAGCATTTCATCATTTCTACGAATTGTTCGTATATAATAAGCCCTGATAACTAGGATTTAATCTTCTCAAAATCAGCCTGTAAACAAATTTCAATGGCTAATATAACTTTTCTCTCACAATTGATTCTATTCTCTCACAAAGTAATAATAAAAGAGAATTAATAAAATTCCACCATGTTAATGGAGGATCAATTCGAATTGAAAAAAGCGGCTTACCAACAGAATACAATAGAAATCAAATTTTTCTTTGCTTATGGTATCCAAAACCAAACGAAAGAGCTCACCGCAGGCCAGGAAAGAAAATTAGTGACCAAACTAATAACAACACAATTAAAGAAAACAAAAACCTTTGATTTACAACCACCGAAGAAAATATATTGATTTTGGAGGGGAAGGGAGAGGCAACAGCAGGTAGAGAGCCAGAGAGACAGTGTCGGAAAAATTTATTTGTGATTAACTGCGGATTAGAGAGATAAGAAAAGATAGGTTTGACCACATTAAGAGCAGTTCCGAAAAAATGTGTAAAATTTGCTCTGGAGGCTAAAAATTGCTCTGGCAATATCGGCGACTCGCAAACAATACAAGGAAACCTAACTTATTCAGCCTGCTTTACATTCAAACGCCTCTTCTTTATTGATGGAGTTCCATACCTATTTTTGGAAAGACCTAGGTTTTACAATGTGGTCGTCCATACTGCACACCATTCTATCCGTTTAAACGAGGGAAGTGAAAACGGACACATCCTTTTCAAAGACTGGGTGGACATTTTAAGTGGAGTAAACTCCTTCCCATGTTTCGCTATGTTGTGTTTTAGTCTTGCAATGAAGCTCTGGCAATTTCTAGTGCTTCCTCAACGGATGAAGCACTCTGAAGCTTGGCTTTGTCAACATTAGGCTGGCTTCTTGCTAGTTTCGGTAGCAGTTGGAATTCCTGCAAAATTACATTGCCGATTTGAAAATATCAACCACATGCAGAGGGGGAACGACAACTTTATTTCATTGTTGAACAATATGTTGAGGCTTCAAGATTTTGCAAGTTTAACAAGTTATTCACAAAATGTTCAGAAGAGTGCTTACCTCAGGACTTCCACTTTCAAGAAGAACTCCCTTCAATTTACCTGCAAGGCAGCATCTGTATTATATAACTAGCTCCGGCTTCAAACATTTTTCTTTGAACAAGTCTTTATATTTCAGAGAGGAATACCTGATTCTATCCAAAAAGTTGCAACCTTTGGATCAAATTTCCCAATTTCAACAGTTTCTCCAACTAGTAAAAAGAGTGATGAAATGGCTTTAGTCGTTTGGATAAACGTAGCTTAGAGACAAAATAATAAAGAAGAAAGATGATGCAGGTTTACCATTGTCCCCAAAAAACTGCCACCAGATTTTCCTTGGGCTTCCTTCATATTCAAAAACTCTTGAGTAAAAATACGGGAGATAGTCATATCTGCACATCATTTCAGATATTAGAAAAAGACAGCAAGAGCACATGAAATTAAAAGCTACGGTGAATTCTTGACTTGAGTTCACAAGAGCCAAATTACGTGGAAGTGTTGGCAGTCAGTAATGCTTTGATGCAATGCTGTGCTGATCGACGAGCATGGTCAACATGCTCTACTCGTGCTATTCGGTTATACATCTGTCAGATGTTACACAAGGTTAAACCCATCCAGGCAATAAATGTAAGTGAAATGATATCTAACTCGACAAAAGTAAACCTTTAAGGGAAATGCAGATACATCCCCAATAGCAAAAATCCCAGGTACACTCGTCCGGAACTGCCCATCCACCTGAACAGAAGAGGATGAAATAAGTCATATGCTAATTGAAACAATGAGTACCCTTACTTCAACAAAATTTAAGGCTCAGTTTCTAAGTATATTGCACGCCTCTTCCTTCCTGAATTTTGATAAGTCGGAAAGAAATACTTTAGTAGTTAAAATTTTCAATATCAGAAGATGCGTTTGAAAGTGCCCATGAGAATATTTAGCTCACTAATACTGCATTGCTAATGCAAATAGAAATATGTTTCTGCTTATTAGCATTTCAAACAGAAAGGAACTTTACGCACACAGTTCCATTCTATTCTACCAACCAATATAAGAATTAAACTAAAAGGACCTTCCGTTAGACTTAATCATTATTTCTGGGAATCCACACACTCAGGTAAACCTTTTGGGTCCAAATCCACTAAAAATACCTTAGCTAGCTATAAGTAGAAGAGATCAACATACCTGTATTCCACCAACATTCTTATTTAAACCAAGCTTTTCAAAGGGACCAACAGCAGGTTTGGCTCCAATGCCAATAACAACCTATTGAGGAAAAGAGAATATTTTAGACACCTTTCTAGCAAGAGTTGGAGTAAGGGTCGCCTAAAATAAAAACAAGTAACCACAACCAAAGAAAGAAATACAGACTCAAAACAACAGTTGTGTTGTACATTACCGTGTCAGCTTCAATGGACGATCCATTATCAAGTCTAACGGCAGTGACATGGCCATCAGAATTAGCTTCCAACGATTTTATGCTAGCACCCTGGAATGTGGTAAGTGAGATATATTAATTGGAGCTTTTGTTGACAGGGATTGTGGAAAAGTCATATGAGAAAGCACCAACCTTGACAATCTTGACACCATTTTCTTGGTAAAATTGTTCATATTTTTGGGCAAGAGACGGGGTAAATAACCTCTGTAGTAGATGCTCTTCAGGAAAAATTATCTGTTTTGCCCCAGGAAACAAAATATAGTCAGATTTTGCCATGTTGTACAGATTATTGATTCTGAATAGAAGTAAAGTACTGGTTTTCATTCCAATCAATATGTCTTAGCTAGAAGTTTTGAGTTATTATTATCCATTTTCTCATCTGCATATTTTGTTCATCAGAAGGCATGCGAGAGTAGATATTTCTGTTCTCAAGTAAACAAATATCAAGGTTAAAGAAGACGCACAAGCAATTGTACTTACAGTCGTATCAAGCTTCCATGCAACAGTTGCAGCTGCAACTTCCATGCCAATATAGCCACCACCAACAACAACTACTTTACTTGCTTTCTCCTGAAAAAGAATTTTCTATGTATGAAAAGCCATACAAAGCAGTTACAACTGACGTGTGTGACTGAAGAAGGATCACCCTGTCCAAATCTAAACACAAAGGAAAATGAACTTTGATACCAATGATGAAATAAGAGAATCTGCATCAGCAACATCACGAATGTAGTGGACACCAGGTAAGTTTCCTCCAATTTTATCTGGAAGCCTGAAACAAAGAGGGATTAAGTCGAAATAAGCAAATGTAAGGCATATCGTTGCAGAAGGGTTGTCACTAGTCCTTAGTGCTGTCAATAAGATTAGGCAGATGAACCCAGGACATTCTGCATTATAGAATAGATACTGATTTACTATCCCCGAAATAAGTCATTTAACATTTCTCTTAGAATGCAGAGTGGAAGAAGAAATTATTATAATACCATTGCGTACAGGCTGGAAGAAAGAAATAACTAAAATACCTGCTAGCTGTTGCTCCAGTGGCTACTATAAGGGAACCATACTTGAGCAATTTTCCGGAATTAGTTGTTAAGGTTTGCTTTTCAATGTCAATGCCAGTTACTGGATCTTCATAAAACGTCTGCACAGAAGTCACAAACCTTACAAGAAGTTATCAAATAATCCCTAAGCCAGTATGGGCAAAGTAAAACTTATGCATCGAAAAAACAGATATTCCAAGGCTAATGTTTCCCTATTATGATATACAGTATAACATAAGGAAACAAAATTAAGATTGATAAAACACAACAGGGCAGAGCGGAATTATGTAAGAACGAAATAAGTACAAATGCAATCAGACGTCAATGTTAACAATCAATTGAACAACAACATCATCAGAATGGGCAGGATAAAACTAGCAAAAAAGGAGTTGCATATAATTTCTATATAATTTCTTTCACCAACTAAGACAATTCTGCATGAATCAACTACGGTTATCAATCAATAAAAAATTCACATTCAAGTTTCATCACATAATAACAAGCAATGAAATTTACCTCTATCCCTTGCTCCTTGTACCAATCAGGGGTCTGCCTTTCTCCACCTGAGCCAACACAAGTGTGGAAACCCTGAGATAGTCAAAAGATCCGGGTTACAAACTAAAATTTGAGCCGGAGAATTGATTAAAGCATATAGTTGAAATGTGGTCTAAAACACTGGTGTAGCGGCGTTTCAATCATACAAACAATGTGTATGAAACTGAGAAGAGATACAGAGGGCAGCATGGCACATATGAGCTCCTGCAGGCTGCATGATCAGGGTCTAGAGACAGCTGAGTCATAAGGCCAAAACTAAGCAGCCCTATCTTATGTTTCTACAAGAAATTGTTCACACTCAAACAGGTGACCCAAGACAAGAAGGCAAAATGTCTCACTAGTCACCCCTGGGCCAGTGATTCTTTTCGGAAGAGATACAGTGATACACGGATTGAAAACAATCAACTAGCTCGCAGCATAAGCATGATGGGCGAAACCAAATAAAAGCATTCACATTTATCATCAAATGAAAAGGTATCACTGCTTCTTACGGTTTCTTCACATAATGAAAATGGACCCCATAAACAGGTTAAACGTTCAATGGAGGAATCCAACACCACATAATAATCAAAGACTTACTGGTAAACGGGCTGGCTTTTTATCCAACGGGAATAAATATGCTTTTGTAAGAGCCGGACGCTCATACGGCGCAAAAGCCTGTATCAATGCCAAAATAAACTCAAAATGGTCAACTCAAGAAGCAACTAAAACTCATTATCAATTATTCCCACATTTCAAAAATCAGTTCTGGAACAGACTCTGTATAAAAGGAAGGAAAGGAAAGAGAAGAAAGAAGTACCTCTTTAGAAACAATGCAGAGCTTGCCATTGGCCATTCCATGCTCGACGAAAGTCCGAGCTGCATATCCAGCTGAATTCCCTCCTCCCACTATCACAAACCTGTATGTATGAATTCATATTAAGCGTCCTTTTTACTTTGTTTTCGAATTGTTACAGAAAAAAAAAAAACAAACTTAATTGGGATTAGTGAACTGACTCGCGATTCTCGTTGGCAAAGGAGGAGGCGGCTACGTAGTTTCTTCTCGAGAAGCTTCTAGAAGGAACAAAGGAAGGCTGGAAATGAACCCGATTCATTTTCAATCCACCCAGAGAAGAAGCAGAGTTCATTGGCTGATGATTGCACCACATGGACAGCCCGTGCTTCAACGTCGTCGGATTGGACAGAGCCATTGCTCTTCGAACTGCTGCAAGAATTTCCAAGCGAAATTAAAAAATTGGGATAACCGAGTAACTGGGTTTTTGCAAAGAATTGATTCTGATCAAGAATCCAGATCAGGGATGAAAATAGGAGGAGCAGAAAGTGAATAAAAAGGTTACGAGTCGGACCTGAGTACATTGATCGGAGCCCGATTTAAGTATGTCGATTTACAATATAATAATGATGGTGTTCCTAAAAAAAACTAAAAGGGTCAATTATTGGGTGGATGATTTGGCTTTTATATACGTTGAAGAGTCAATCGCCAAATTTAACCAGAAAAGAAAGATTACAGAGGTTTTAACAGGGGATGGACACGACACGAGACTCGAGACATTTGGTGCCACCTTTGAGATGAATTTGGAATTTTGCAATTGGCCGCCGGGGAAAAGAGACAGTGACGACGGCGACCTATTGTTGCATAATTTAGCTTGGTACTAGGATTCACAGAGAGACAAAATAGTCAAAAAAAAAAGGGATTGGGTGTCCTTGATTTTCTGGAGAATTCAGCAGGATGACAGTATCCCTCACTGAATGGTCTGGTCCTTTTGATTATTTCCCTCTACTGGTGAGATTCCGGCGTATCTAAAAGAACTCAAATCTTGATAAATTAGTAGTCCTAATAAAATGATTTCATTTACGTGTTTAAATCTGAGTTACATAAATGTGCAAGGATTATTTTAAAGGATAAAATTAATTTTGACAAATAAAGTTTGGTATAACTCCAGACTATATATTATGACAAAAAATTAATTGTCAATTTCGATCGATTTCGATTTCATCCTAATGTATCTACAAGAGTAACACTTTTAGTTTCATCCCGATGTATCATGATTCGGCCAGTTCCATCTTTTTGTCATCTAATTATCAAAATATCTCCGCTAATTTGGTCGTTTTGGTGCGGTATCTTGTTTTGGTGTTAAAAAAAAAAAAAGAAAAAGAAAAATGCCTTCTTCAAAATAAATGGCCGTTTTTTTTCTTTTGGCTGAGAAGTGACTAGTAAGAGCGGTGATAAAAAAAGATCATGCGAGATCTACGTTTCAGATGATTACATATGCGTTTTATATGATGACTTTAGCTTTGACAAACCTTTCAGATAGTGTATCCCAATACTCTCATGCTTTTAGATCAATGTGAGCCTACAATCTCAAAAACTTGCTTTGAGATTGTAAACGCAGATCTCCAAATGCAGATCTCAAAGACTTGCTTTTAGATTTCTAAACATAGATTTCTATGAAAAGTGACTAGTAAGAGTGGTGATAAAAAAAGGTCAGGCATTTCAAATGATTACATATATGTTTTATATGATGACTTTGGCTTTGACAGACCTTCCAGATAGTGTTTCCAAATACTCTATCGTACTTTTAGATCTCTATAAGCTTATAATCTCAAAAACTTACTTTGATATTGCAAACGCAGATCTCTAAAAGCAGATCTCAAAAACTTACTTTTAGATCTTTAAATGCAGATTTCTATGTGAATTGACTAGTAACAGTGATAATAAAAAAAGATCAGGTAAGATTTACGTTTCATTATAAATAATTACATATATGTTTTATATGATAACTTTGGTTTTGACAGGCCTTCCAAACTAAGAGTTTTGTGTTCGGGTTTGATATTTTTTTAACTGAGAACTCTAACTTCCTTGGTGCAATTGAATCTATCTGGAGACATCCCATTTACGGTAATCCCATGTATTCTCTCATGTGTAAACTTAAAGCATTGAAATTGCTATTTAAAGAGATGTGCAGGGATAAAGGGGATTTTGCAAGAAATGTACAAGAGGCAAAAAAAAATACTAGGGGACTGTTGAGAGCCCTAATTCTTTCCTTTGAGCACCATAATTTAGTACCAAAAGATCATTTTGCCCCTACTAAATTTTATAAATTTTTAGTTTCAATTTCATTTTTTCAATTCCTAAATCAATCTTTCGTTTCAAATTCTCTCATTCCTAAAACTAAAAAACTCATATTCAATGGCGGAACGAATGAAACGGCTACAAAAAGAAGCACGAAAGCTCAATATACGTTCAAATCTGAATTTTAAATTCAAATCTGAGGTTTATTTTTTTTAAAAAAAAAAAACACTGTCCCGACCAGCGATGGAGAACCTCGCTGGGGCAAGAAGAGCCGGCGCTAGAGATCCGCACCAGCTCTGTAAGGTGTGGCGAAAAATTCGTCGCCACCCCAAACAGAGCTGGCGCGGATCTCCGCGCCTGTCATTCTTGCCCCGGCGACGGTTTTCCCGCCAGCCGGGGCGAGGGTGGTTCTTCGCCACCCTCTGAGACGAGCGCCTGGCGAGATTATCCGGCGCTGGTCTGTACCTGCACCGGATATGTTTTTTTTTTTTGTATTTATGTTGTAATTTATTTATTTTAATTTAATTTTTATTTATTTTATAGGGTAAATATTAGTAATTTTAATTTAATTGTTATTATTAGTAATTATAAATCTTAGGAATTTGTTTTTATTAGTTTAATTTATTTAGGAAAAATTTTTATTAATATGTTTAATCTTAAGTAAATAATTTTTTAATAACATTCATATTTAGGAATTCATTAATAGTTTTAGGGAGCTTTAATTTTTTTAAATAAATTTGGGGAATTATGAATGTTATTATAATTAATTTAATTATTGAAAATTTGTTTGTAGGATTAGTCAGTTTAATTTTAATTAGTCTCAAAAAATATGTGATACGTAGAAATTAAATATTTAGTATATGAAAATTAAATAAATAAGATTATTTAAATACAAAAAAAAGAGTTAGATTATATTTTGGTTAAAATTAAATAATAAAATATGAAGATAATTAATTGAAGTATATTTGGAATTATTATTACTTGTATTTAGTAGATTTAATAAATTAAACATTTAAGATTGTATAATAATTTTATATAATTAGGTATTTAAATAATATAATAACGTATTAAAGTAATTAACCTAAATTAATAATTTATTATTTAGGTTTTATTAAGTATGTATAAAAACTATTTCTTTTGGATGTAATCAGGACTATTTAAAGTTACGTGTAAAATTTAAAACTTTTGTAGGATGGAATATCGCCTGTTGAGGGATCTGGTAATCGTCATGCAGTTAGGCACAATTTATATGTTGAACATCGTATAGAAAAAGAGAAAAACTTAAAGAAACAGAAAAATGTACATCCTACCTTTGCCCCACCTGGTGAATCGGCGAACGTAGATGATGATGATGAGTTTGAGGGAGAGGAAGAACAAGATGAGGATAGTTTTGAGAGTGGGGGGGACGATGTGGATGAAGAAGATGAGTCAAACGAGTATTCCTCGCCTGAGGGAAGGGATATACATTTTGGAGGTAACCCAGTACTGAACCCCATTGGTCGTACTGATGATCAGACTCAAGTTCACCCTACCCGCAGGGAGGGAGGGGGGAAGACCGTTGTTGGATTATCGGGGTTGAATTCAGCTTACATTCCCGATGGTTCCAGTCTTCGTGCCGGCCCATAGAGTACTCTTTTTAGAGGTCCTAGTACTACTCTTCATCATGCCGGCGCACAGAGTGCTCTTTTTAGAGGTCCTAGTACTACTCTTCATGATACCGGCCCGCAGGACATTTTGTTTGGAGGTCCAAGTAGTACTCTTCATGATGTCGGCCCCCAACATCGTTCTGGCGGGACTTCATCGCACTCCCCTCAGACTAGTCAGCCTTGTTCCCATTTTGGTGCTGCCTCCATTGGTGCCTTTAGCCGTCCTGAGGCAGCTGCGATGTTATCATGTACATATTTGTAATTATTTAAGCATTCATTACTGCGACGTCAATTTCTTTATTGCATTAAAGTTAAGTATTAACCAACTATTCTTTACTCGATTTCAGATACTAGCAGACGATTTAAGGTTTCTAACGAAGAAATTGATGATTGGGTTGTGACGGACAACGTACCTGGTGGGCCATGTGATGGGTTAGTGATTCCTAATTTTCTTGGCCACACTACTTATCAGTTGTGGAATGGAGAACCAAGAGATTACCTGATGATGAAACCAGCAAAGAAGAGTTTGTCAAGATTGCATGGATGGTATACGAAGTTGCCGGAGAAAACCCAGTTGAAGATTCAATATACCTATTTGTATCATCTGATTGATACCATATATGATGACATTGACCTTACTCTTATTTCTGCATTCATAGAGAGGTGGCAGCTCGATATAAACTCTTTTCAATTGCCATTTGGGAAATGACCCTCGTGATGCATGATGTGGCACACATTTTGGCGATTCCAGTTGAGGGTTACTTGTTGACCGAACCTCTGGAAGTGGAAATGTTGAAGATGCAGGTCGCGGCATTGCTTGGGTTGTCGGTGGCTGACTTAAAGCGTGCATAGAGGCACGGAGGTGTGAGCGACATATTGATCGAGGAGAGTTGTCGCAAGGTCCTCCCGCTGTTCAGGTTCAAGCTTGGATGTGGATCTTGTTAGCCTCGACACTCTTCCTCGACAGGAGTGGGGCAGGATTAGTGCTTCGCTTATGAACGAGCTCCACAGAGGTGTCGAAAATATTGAACTAGCATTCCTCTACAGTCAGCTTGGGATTGCTAGTCGAGCAGCGTGTACCACGATGGCTGGCTGTATGACCCTTCTCCAGGTATGGATTTATGATTATTTTCCATGCTTCCAGCCCTCGAAAGCGGGGCCATCTAGGTGTTGATGGTTGGCCCAGAGCCGAGACTAGACACCAGTTAGCTATAAGGGCTCGAAGCCTATTCAGAGTCGACTCCAGCAGATTCATGCGTAACTCGATGCGATGACTGAGTAAGAGGTAGTGGTTATATTTTATTTCTTTGTATTGCGTAAAGGGTATTTTATTATACTATATAATAAATTTTGGCAACATTCGCAGGTCGAATGGGAGCCGTTCGGTCGCGAACAGGCGGCCGCATATCCGAGGACCATCTTCAGTAGGTGGATTATGTACCACGACTTCCAGGAGCTATACATGTCGGAGAGAGTGCTACGCCAGCTCGTTTACGTGCAATATATACCTCGTGCGCCGCTCACGCCAGTCACTCAGTTTCGCGAGAAAAAGGCGCATAAGTATTTTGTTAATCGTCCGAGTGCCAAGACCAGTAACTATTGCGTTAGATTTCCAGAATCGGAGGGCATCAACCTCAGTCATTGTATGCCGGTATCTTCTACGAAGGTAGGACAGGCAGTTGTAGAGTACCTCGACTGGTACAGGAGCCATTCACATCCATTCATACTGCCGACGTCCGTCCCGTCTACGTCACGCATACCAGCTAAGAACTGCACCACTAACGTAAGTTCAACACTCAATGGAATTTTATTTTAATAACACACGTAATTTGAAAGCGGTTAATATGTTTTTTTTAAATATTTGTAGTGGATGCGTGAGATTGAAAAGTTGAGTTGAGGTTGCATCGAAGATTTGAAGAAACTCGATCTGGATCTTGGTCTGCAATGGGATACTCATCTGGATGATGTCATCTTTCGTCACAGTCAAGCCCCATGACATTCGACTCCTTTGGTTAGAATTTGGTTATTGGAAACTCATTGATTCTTGTTTTTTTTAATCAATTGCACGTATTGTGCTGATTTGGAGTAGGTTACAATTTCGTTGTTGTAAACATTTTGGACTTATTTTGATTTTCAATTTCATTTCATTTAAAAACGAATGAAAAGACGTTGAAAGAGCATATAAAATATTTCATATTTGCATAAACAAATGTAAAATAACATATCACCCGAGACCAACAAATGACCGTCTGGGTCTTCTCGGGGGATCCGGTGGGACCAAAGTACGCCATAGTTGCATTCTGGGTCCAAGAGGTACTTCCCAACCAATAATACTACTATCACGGTGTGATGCCAAATGGGGCGAATAGGTGGAATTGGAAAATCACCCTACAGATTGAGTCGAATGAAGTGCTGGTAGAGCTCAAGGTGCCAAATAACGATCTGGAACTCTGGTCTTGTTGCCCCGCCCCGTGCGATGAGTGGTAGCATAGTCCAACATGTGCCGTTTAGATTTACAGCATCGTTTGTCCTGAAGTAGTACACAACAACATTGAAATATGTAGCAATGGGATAAAAGTCCTCTATCGACATCCAGTGACCTTCGCTTATACCAATCCACCGTATACGCTCTAGGCTTTTAAATAATTTATTCTATCTACATAGATGAGTAAAGGAAAGTTTTAAATAAAATCACATTGATGCAAGTGTATTAAATAGGACATCAAAAATAAAATTTTTCATACCGTAAAAGTTCCCGTAAAGCCCAGGATTATTTATGACCTCATCAAACACTATTTGTCTGCACAAAACATGATTATTCTGCCATCCCAACATGCAACTCGCAATAACGCAAAAACCACAACTGCCGTCAGGCTAGACATCAAGATATGACTGAACATGGTTGTGGAGTATCTACGAAATCTTATTCTTATGCCTAAACATGGAAAATTATGTCTGTATTATATCTGTTACCAATAAATTAATTTCATTATCTCTGGATTAAATATAAGAATTTAATAAAATAATGAAATTTAGCACTTTTAAAAATATAAATATAAATCGTACCTCCAACATGAGCTTCAGATCCCGACATATGGCATCTACTGGAATTACTGGTGTTCGTCCCACCTAGCCCAGTCCATGTACATGTGCTCGCACGCCATGAAACAAAAATATAAGAATTAAATGATAATAATATTTCTCACATTAAGAAAAATAAATTTATATCGGGCCTCTGGTAGGATCTTCAGCTCCCGACGTATGGCCTCTATTGGAACTATTGGTGTTCGTCCCACCTTGACCCGAGGTATCTTTGTTAGTACCTGCTTTACTGGAACCGTTTGTGTTCGTCTCACCCTGACTGCCGTCCCTGTATGTCCACAGATTTGGTTTGTCTTGCTTTTTTTTTTGAGATGCCTCCTTTCTTTGGCCTGCCTTTACCTCTCTTTCCAACCAGCGGTTGTTTCGATCCGGCTTGGCCCTGGCGAAGTTTGTTGTACATCAATCTAGTGATAATCATGCTATATTGGCTCCTCAGCAGTATCTAATTCTTCCACTAACTGCCTGAACAACAATCTGTGAGGGGCGACATCATCCGAACTATCCTTCTCTGCAACCTGACCGATGTCGAGTGTGCTCCAAAATTGGTGTAAGTATTTTGGAGTCAAAATCTCATTTTTCTCCATTACCTGCTCAGAATACATGCACAAGGGATCGAATGAGTTTGCTTCAGGTAGTGATTGCATTCCCAAAACACATCATCTCTGAGTTGCTGTGCCCTTTTCAACTCATTGTTCAACAGATCCAAGCAGTAGTGTGAAACGTTGCATCTCAATTGGTAGAAAGGGTACTTGTTGTGTTGCCTCCCTATTTTCTGCCTTGATTCTTGCAATTTCTCCTTGTAGAGGAATGAAAAATAATTACTTAAACAAACTAAACACACAGTATATAATATAACCATATTTGAGAATGTAACGTTTCAAAAGAAGCATTTGTTGTGCCGAGCTATTCCTTTAACTACTTGTGTGCACTCTCCACTCTACAAGTAGTGGTGTTGCAAAGATGAAAATAAGTGTTGGTCCATACCTGCACAAACTTGTCCGCCACCACTAACCATGTCTTCCTGACATACTCTAGAACGGGTTGAAATTGGGACCAATTATGCTCTAGAAGCTTCACTTTTTCTTCGTAATATTCACGATTTGCAGCTTCGATCACTATTTTAAAGGCCTTGTACGCGAAACTTTTTTCTACGTTCGCATTTCCGTTCAAAATTCTTTTCACATTTTTTTCCACATCCCTGTAAACGTGCCACGTACATAACAAGTGATGTGATGATGGAAATGCATCATCAAAAAGCCTCATCAGTCCAGTCTCCCGATCAGTCACGATGACACTCGGATGCAGATCATCGCCGTACAAGTTACGGAGATGCCACAATGCCCAATGGTGGCTGTCCCCTGTCTCATCACTCAGAAGAGCATATGTTATAAGGAAGGTCTGCTTGCACGGAGTCATTCCAACAAACTCCACAAGAGGCATTTTATATTTGTTTGTGTTGTATGTGGAGTCTACACAAACAACTCAAGGATACGTGCGCAACAACAAGAAAGAATCCGGATGAGGAAAAAACACGTGGGATAATCTCAGTGTCTCTTCATCGTACTCCGTGATGATGATGTATTTGTGTTGTTCTGCGACCTCTAACACCTTTCCCACGACATCCATGGAAGCCATGTCATCAATTAGAAACCCCTCCTTACGCAATTGATTTCTATTGTAGTAGACTTGTTTGGAGGTAACATTTCATCAGAAAATTGTGTCCTATCGCCCCTAAAATGTAGACTGCCTTAGTCCAGCCTTAAAGTACTCCTTAATAAGCTCTCATTTCTGCGCGAGGTGAATCTTTCAATGAATGGTTGTGCATTCCCCACGGACCGGGATATACACGGATCGCCCACCTATCATATATTTTGTAGACAGTAACCCGAAACTGGCATCCGATTATTTGTGTCTTTGTATTGGGCCGGGCGCGCATGTTTTTATCCACCTGTTGACCTTGGTATCGGCCTTCTTTATGACAAAGGAGTATAGTATTATTGTCCTTGTGCGAGGATACACTTAACCCCATGTGTACATATTTGCAATACCCTTCGCATATGCAATAGCTTCAAGTTTCGTGCCAAAAGTTTCGTCTGTAGCAAAAGCCGAACTATAATTATGTCTATTCCCCTGATGAAACCTATCATGCACACATTAAAAATGAATTATATCATAACTTAAATTAACTATAATAATATTAAACCACAAATAATTCATTATAAACAAAAACATAATATATAATCCGATATAATGATGTTATACTTTAACGATAATTAATTAACATAATATGTACTAATAACAAACTAAATACATTATCAACAAAAACTCACCATTTTAATATAAAAATTATAACTTATGAACATATTACCTAATTAATCAATTCTTTCTAAACTAACAACAAACTAAACACCCATTTAACAAGAAAAAAATTATTTCATACGAAAATACTATGTAATTAACATCATTTAAACATATAACAAAACTAAACACATAATTAACCAAAAATTCACCCATTTAATATAACAACTATAACTTATGAACAAAATATGTAATTAAAAAACATTCTCTAAATATTTAAGTTAAATATTATTTATTTACCAATACCATAAATCCTAAATATTAAGATAGATTATCCATTTAACTACCAATTAACATAAATTTTCTAAACAAATATTAAACTACCAAACAAATGCTCAAATAAAATAAATTAATTAAATAAATAAATACATGAATTAGATAAATTTATTAAATTAATAATTTAAATAAATGATATTAATTAAATACATTAAAAAATAAAATAAATAATTAAATTAAAAAAATAGAACAGGCCCCACCCATTGGTTGGTTGGCGAGCCCGGACAAAGGTGACAGTTTTCTCGCCTCCCTGTAAAGGGAGGCAAGATTATTCCACGTCACCTCGCATAGGGGTGGCGTGTTCTTCCTGCTGGCGCATATGTCCCTCGCCTCTCCCCCTCCCTTTTCTTTTTTTTTTTTAAAAAAACATATCTCTATTGTGCAGAGGGCGTATCCGTCTTTCGGAGGGCGCTCAAATGAGAAAATAAAGGCGCTCAACAGTTCAAATACTGAAATTTCCAAAAAAAAAATAAAATCAACTAATTGAATTATCAATAAAATGAATTAATTAATTAAACAAAATAAATATTTGATAATTTTGTATTAAATTAAATATATGCACGGCCACAGTCAACAGACCTAACTTCTTTTGGATTTTTACACAATAAGATAGAAACATCACCCTTTACTTCCAACTTGAAGAAAAAGAGAATAACATTCAATTGCTTTGACAAGATTTTGAAGTCTAAATATCGTTCTAACCACAATCTCACACTTTACTATTATTATTATTATTATTTACATTTGTTTCATCCAAGCTTCCCGCGCCTAATAAACAACTGTCTAATATTGTGATCAAAGCCATTTGAATTATGAAATGTACTAACCTATAATGTATAAAAATAAAATTTTGACTTGGGATATTGTTCCAAGAAGGAATTTCTCCACAATCAAGGGAATGGACAAAAGTTGTACAAATCAAACTAGATACAAGTGGTAAAACCAACATAAAAAAGGAAGAAAAAGTTACCATTTTGGTTCAATGACTAGCTACTAGAACCCAATTTTAGTTTGAGATTTGCCTAAAAACTTGTTCTCTCAATAGGGAACTGGTACAGACATTTTACCAACTTGATCAATAACATCAAGCACTTCAGCTCTGCTCCTCACAATCCTATGAAACACCTCCCTAACCTGCTGTTGAAGTGGGGCCAATCCCTCCTCCATCTTCCGGCAAATATCCGCCAACTCGGCCACCTGAACCGCCACCTCGTCCACCTTCTCGTCTTCCAACGGGAACTGAAAAGCGTCGGAAAATTCAATCAAACTCTGGGCCAGCTTCTCCATCCTTTGAATCTCCTCCAACAATCCAGCAGTACCCTTTTTCTCCTTTTTCTTCCACTCTTCCGCAATTTTCTCCTGAAGCCCAGTTATAGCATGAGCCCAGCCCAACTGCTTTGGGACCGGAATGTGAGTGGACAGCCCATTCCGCTCCTGACAAGGGAATGCCGCCACCAAAGACCACATCACGAACACCAAAACCGTACACATGATGTAAACCGGCATGGCCAGCCCATTAGCCTCGACTCCACGTGGCGCAATCAGATTAGCTGACATGGCTTGAATCTGTTTCGCCGCTGACCACGATTTCGCCATTGACCACGACAGCGACCGGAACGTCCCGCCGGTCCTGTCCTTGTTGCTGTTCCCGGCGGCGGATCCGCCGCCGCCGCGGCGGCCGAACGACCACGTCCGCTCCGTCGACTTCCCGTGGTTATTGTTCCCGACACCGCCGTTTTCCTTGTCGTCGAAGGCCATCGACGTCAGCAGGGTTGACAAGGCTTTCTTGGCGCGTCTGACTTGGCCTTCTCCGATGGGGCGTTGCTCGAGCGCCACGACGGCAATCTGGGCCAGCCTCTGCCAATGGCGGACCAGCTCAACGCCGTTAGTGACGGCGTTACAGACGTCAAGGGCCTTGATTGACCTATCTAAAAGATCAGGAATCAGACGGTCCAGAGGCGGCTTATTGAATTGACATGGATCCCGGCCCATCACAATAACGGCCTTATACTCTGCCTCACAACACAAAAAGACATCCAAAAGCTTGCGGAACCATTCGATTGACAGCAACGGTGCCGGAGCCGGCTGGGAAAGCGGGTTGTGCTCCGATAACGGAGATTCGGAGGCGGAAATTGATGAAGGCGTCTGATCACTATTACCGTTGTTTTTCGGGGTGGAGGAATGAACAGAGCCCGGAGCCGGAGTTGGCGGAGGGAGGAGGTCGGCGAAGCGTTCGGCGGTGTTCTTCTGGAAAATATCGAGGTCTTCGAGTTCTTGGTCGTGGGATTCCATGGCAACCACCTGATTACGGCGGATGCTGATGCGGTTCAGGAAACCCGGACCATCGTTTCCCCCCGGCATATTTTTATTTTTGTCGATCTCCTAACGGTATGTTAATTACCAGTGTCAAATTCCCCTGTGTTTTTGAGATTATGTAAGCAAATAGAACATCGGATTTTTGTATATTTTTGATGATTCGGGAAATTGAAATTTGATTGATTAAGGTGTAAAAAGATCAGGAAAGGAAGCAAGAGGGAAAAAGAGGGGGAGGAGAAGGAGGGAAGTTAGGTTGGTTATGGCAGTTAAATGGTGTGGGAGGAGAAATGAATGGATGGAATCTATGGGGAAAAAAGGTATAATGGCTTTTTTTTCTTTTTTTTTTGGTTTTGTCTGGTAGTGGACCATTTCTTCTTCCTTGTTATATTCTTCTTTTCTTCCTCGACAAATGGAGGTTGACTGAGTATTTTTTGCTTTTTCTTTTGTTTCTTTTGTTTCTTCCTTTAATTGACATTTAATTTTAGATTTTTTTGGGGGTTAAAGTATTGTACAATATTCCAATTTCCAACAGAGAGTAGTATCTGTTATTCATAACCTTTTGGTTTTATTTACATTTTTATTTATATATAATACCGTATTTTCCGCCCCGAATGAAATTCAAGCCAATAGTTTCAATAACTAATGATAATTATTTTTTTTTAAAAAAAAACTAATGATGATTAAAACAATTTTGGTGTCGAGGTTGAATCTTATGTTATCCTGTACATTTCAACTTCTTGCATTTTGAATAACTTCTTTATAATGTTATGAATCATCCACTCAACAAACCATTTTAATGGTATAATAGTTGGAACTGTTACCTAAACTGAACTATTCAATCTAATGAAATATAGTCATTAACGACTTTCATTAAATTTCCAATCTAACCTCATAAGCTAAAAATTGTTCTCTGACACGATATACAATCTAACCTCAAAATCCTTGTCCTTCACAGCCGCGCTGTGCCCAGGTTGCCGGCTAGTTCATGGAATCAGCATTTCAAAATTTAGTGGTTGGTATTTTGCAAGTGAAAGAAACATTTCATTTCCAAAAAGAAAATATTAATTGAATGAACATAAACTCTAGTCTATGTAGTTTCAATGTTTGTAGACTAGAAAAATGTCAAGAATTGGCGTTTTGATTTTTTTTTTTTCCGTCAAAGAGGAAAACTCACAAAAGCTAAGGCGTTGAATGCGTTAGTAGTACATTGTGGCCTATTGGGATGTCCCAAATTATGCAAAATTCAACCGCTAGAAATAATGAAATATACTTTTTGTTAATCCCTATACTTTTTAAAACCCGACTGAGATTATATTCCAATGTTTTGCTTAGAAATGATTTCCTTTAAGAAAAAAAAAATCAGAAAAGAAAGAAAGCATGTGTGATTTTTTTTTTTTTTGATAGTATTGATGACATTTTGCTTCACGTCATTCTTCGAATTGAGATAATATTCGCATATTCTTTGATGTCTAGCCTTAAAGCTCTTACATTCTCACCACATAAATAACATTAAAAAAAGGGAAGATTGTTGTTTGAATGCTTAACGTATTCATATGATTTGGACATATCACAATTGATTAGAAGTGAAATTATAACTAAGAGCGATGATATATGTTGGGATATAATATCCCACATCAGTATCGTGAAGGATCTCTCACCTGTTTATAAACTCCAAAGGCCATCCCACTCATTACCAATTGGTTTTGAGTGTGGAGCCCAAGGTGACTTTGTCATGACACCAAAGCGGGTTTGATAGCCGTTGTCTCTATTTTTATTTTTTTTTTCTTTTCTTTGCCTCTTATGATCTTGGTTGCTATCGGGCAAAGAAGTTTTCTTGCCAATATATATATATATATATATATATATATATATATTGGGTTTAAATTCTGTCCCAATTCATTTGAAGCCAACCGTAAGAGTAGAATTTATTAGTATTGTGGTGGATTTTGGTGGGTTTCAGCCACGTTTGGTGCGGTTGACCTTTGGATTGTCGGCTACAATTTGGTTGCTGATTTGGAGTTCATTCATCCTTGGTTTTCGGTGGATTTTAGTGGGTTTCTATGGTGTTTAGTCGGTTACAATTTTGGTGGTTCGACTGGTTTGATTACTTTAATTTGGGGATTTGTTTTCTCTTCTCTTCAGCTGATTGTGTTTATATTGCATGTTTTAATACTGTGAGATGTATTCAATGAATGATTGCAGTGGAGTTGATTTTGCACAAGGTATTTCTTGTGCAGTAACAGCTGCTACATGCTTGAGTTGAGAAAGATGGAGTAGTTTGGTGAATTTATTACACTCGACAAGATTCCCTCAAGCTGAGAGATTTAGTAATCATAATTTTTCTAATAATTGGATATTTGATTGTGGTGCAACTCACCACATGACTGGTTTTTTTAATTATTTGACTAATGTTCGTAAAATTGAACCTCGTCCAATGCGGCTACCAATGGAACATTGACAATGGCAACCCAAACCGACACAGTACGTCTTAGCCGGCGTGTGATTCCGTTTAATGTCTTATATGTTCTCAGTCTATTGTGTAGTTTAATTTCCTTGTCTCAACTGTTGGAAGACTTGGGTTGTGGTGCTTATTTTACTCATCAGTCTTGTTGTACAGGATCTCAGTTCAAGGACAGTGATTGGATCAAGTGAACAACTGGTGGGGTTTTATTTCTTTCGGAGCATTGTCGAGGCAGCGACGGCGCCAATGCGAGTTGAAGAATTATTGGACCTGTGGGAGAAACGGTTGGGTCATCCGTCTTATCAGGTGGTTGAAAAATTGTGTCGTGCTAATTTTAGTGTTTCTAGAGATATTTCCACCAAAGTATGTGATATTTGTTTGCGTGCGAAGCAATCTAGAGACAGTTTTCCGACTAGTGAAACTAAAACTGTTGAACCTTTTCAGTTGATTCATTGCTATTTGTGGGGTCCTTATCATGAGCCGTTGACATGGTATCATAGCCCAGAATCTGTGGACCTGTGCTAACTATGGACCCGCGTGTGCGGACTTAGATCCATGCGCCTTGAACTTGCGTCAATTGCTTCCGTGCGTAAGGGTGTGCTTGTGGACTGATCCGACAGTATATCCGAATTATGTACCCGTGTGTATGAGCTTGTTGACTGACCCAGCAGTATATCTGGTGAATTATGTTGTATTGTGTAACCCCAATGAGCCAAATACCCCAATGAACTTGAGGGAGGATGTTGGGACAAAGAATCCCACATCGGTGTCACGAAAGATCTGTTACCTATTTATAAATTCCAAATGTCATCCCACTTATTGCCAATTAATTTTGAGTGTGGAGCTCAAGATGACTTTGATAATATAATTCATGAAAATTTATAATAAAACTAGATATGCAGTGAATCCTTAACTGACAAAATCATCGGATCATCTTTTCAATATCTCTCCATCGACAAAATAACCGCTAATTATACATGTAAACATATGTCAAATCGTTTAGCATATTATTTCACTGCATAGTTTTCACTCGACATGTCTTTGCAGCAATTAAATATGACGTTCAAGTTTTTTTTTTTGTTTTTTTGGGGATAAAATGTTCAAGTTCTTTAATAAAGAACATAGAGGGAATAGTCCACATCTACTTTGACCAAGTAAGTGAATAGTGTGGGTGGTCTTGCCCAGCAGCTGCAGAGATGACGTTGATTGAGATGTAGATTTCGACTTACTTTAATCCATAAAAAAGTAAACCAAGTAACCACTTCACTCGTTTTCTTTTCAATTAATCTGTCCCTTGGAGCAATAATAAATTATCAGTTCAGTTCAAATATGGTGGAAGAGAGAGAAAGATAGCGTATACAAGGCAGTAAAAGACATTGGGTTTTAAGAGTGCAAATCTTTTTCACTGGTCAGACAAAATTTGGTGTTCAGAGAGTCAGATTTTATTAAAGAACCTGTTTAGTTTTTGAATTTGTCAAAGGTGAACAAATATATAGTAATGTGAAGTTTCGATCCTCGATCAATTAAACCTTAGGACAGAAACATAAACATTCTCCATTTGATTAAATATTTCCAAAAAGCCTTTATAAATTAAATATTGTATTAATCACCATGAAAGTCAGTTAATAGCATTTTTATATGTAAAAAAAAATCTTCTTATAGTTATTATTTTAAATGGAAACACCTACACATGTGATCTCCATTTATGAAATGTGAGAAAACCCCTTACTAAAGTAGGATCATCTTATCTCACATGTAATCTCGCTAAACCTTTTTTTTTCCCCTTTTTAAATTTGATATTCATAATTTCAATTATTTTTATTCTTTGATAGATCTAGAAATTGGCTTCTGTATTTAATTCTTTTTAAGGAATGGTGATACATATATGGAAAGGATTACCAGGAAAACAACAAACAATAATGTATCTACTATGTATACTATCTTCCTAAAGTTAAATGCATTAATATAAATAGAAAGAATAAAATTCAGTGAATATGATTTACTGAACATCAATTTTTCTCCTTTTTCATTGTAAATTATTCCTTACGCATATTACTATTACTTTTTTAAAATTAATAAAATAAAAAACACTTTCCGAATACTTTCATGGATTTAACTAAGAAAAGAAGGAATACAAGAAGTTGCCTTACCATGTTCTAGTTAGATATATCATGAAATTTCCATTATTATTATTGTGAACCAAAAGAAAATAAAAATAAAAACCATACTTCGTAATTATATTATATTATTGTAGATTCAAATTGGATGATTACTGCTCAGCCATCATCGCCAGTTCCCCGGCCGCCCCTCTCCTCCTCCAATGATGATAAACTCACTTGGTGGGGCCCCTGGTGATGTCCAAAACCGAATTTGACGGCGTCAATTTACCACGATGTCAAAACTTTTCTAAGTTTTCTTTTTATACATTCTTTTTAGCTACATTATCATCATTAGCCACCAACATTTTAAACAGATTATAAACAATTAAATCACTAACGCTCACAGAAAACGCGTTGTTTTGCAACCCAATTGACAAACAAAATTAACCACAACGTATAGATGGGTATGCCGCAAACTATACGGGGCATCAGGTGCACTCAAGTTTAGAGCTCACCGGGCTGGGCATGAGGGCGCAGCTCACTGCTCTCTCTCTCTCTCTCTTCTTTTTTTTTTCCTTTTTTCTTTTTGATTTTAATTTTGTATTTTAGTTTTTTTAATTTTTAAAATATTTTTTTAGTAAAATTTCACCCACTCTTAACACACGCAATTAATAGATTTGGGTTTAGTGTGTAACGTAATACGGGTAACTTATGAATTTTTTTATTTTAATTAGGCTAAACGAGACCCTAGCCTAATTGGATTAAAACAAAATTAAACCGAATAAAAAATTAGTTTATTTAGTGTTTAGGGTTTAGGAAGGTTTAAACATTTTATTAAGTTAGGATCTAGTGATTAGCATTTAGAATTTAGGAGGGTTTAATTATTTTAATTAAGTTAAGGTCTAGTGATTAAGGTTTAAAATTTATGAGGGTTTAAACATTTCAATCACATTAGGTCTAGTGTTTGACGTAACATGATTAAATTATAATTTTTTAAAATTTAATTAAGTTAGAGACCCTAACTTAATTAAATTAAAACAAATAAAAGATATAGTAATTTTAGT